CTGATGCTTGAAGCAAGCGAAAAGGAAACGTAAGCACTGATTTATATATCATGACTGATGACATACACTTTTTGACTTTCGCGCCAATGATTGAGTTCATGAACGGGAGAAAGCATTGAAATGAGAGAATCTTTTGCTCGATTTTCTGTATTTTCGTCCGTTGAAGAGTGTAAAATATGATTACCATCGGTTAACACAACACTGATGGAAAAGGAGAGAATATCCGTGCGGCATTGGTTGGTACTGCACCAGTTACTGATATATAGCTCCGCTTCTCCTTTCTTCTCCTTCTTCCTTCCTCCTCCCTCTCTCTCTATCTCTTAATAGCTTCAGATGCATCGTAACGCAGATAGTCCAGAACGAGCTGCTCGATGTGATTGGATTGTGGCATGAGGATATGCGCTATGATCGTGATGAATATATTAAGATTCATTCAGAGAACGTTGAAAAAGGTAAGCTCAAATGAAATGGCTTAAGTTTCTTTTTTTAAAAGGAAAGTAATTTCAGATCTTCGGAACCAATTTGAAAAAGTCCTTCCATTAAAAGCAACTACCTACAATATGCCATACGATTACAAATCAATTATGCATTATGACGCAACAGCATTTACAAAGAATGGAGATATCACCATGGAAACACTGAACCCTGAATTCCAAGTTACCTTCTTACCATGTCGTTAGGTGGCCATGATTTTGTTTGAAGTTCAGGATATAATTGGTGAATCGAAAGATGCTACTAGTGATTACCGCAAGGTTTGCGAGATCTACAGCTGTGACATGTGCATGGGTGAAAGCTTCGACACTGATGGCGATCTCATAAACAAGAAAATTGAGGCCTCAGAAGTTGAAGAGAATGAGAAAGAGATCACAAAAATTATCAAAGAGTCAGTTTTGACTTTTGATTTAACGTGAACCCATTGAAAGTGGGACTGGATGAATTGTCAAAATTCTAATAGAAGACAATATTTTTAGGTTGCCTTGACATCATTCCGCCTATCTGTGAAGCCATTGCTT